AAAAAAAAAAATGAAATATGAATTTCAACTACTTTCCACGTTTGACTGCAATGATGTGCTCTGCAAACAAGTGCCTGAAAAATCTCATTTGTTCCTTATTCGTTATCATTCTGTCAGCTGCTGTAACAGAAAGGAGGATCCTCAACATATGAAATGTTTACCACATCATGGAGAAAAGTGAAGTAATTTTTAGTAACTCAAAATATATCATTTTTCACTAATGACAAACAAATAACCGATATTCTTCAGGGAAAATGTCATAAGGAAAGAAAAAATGAAACCGTTAAAGTTCTAAACAATTTACCTAAAACGAAAATCGATCTACAAATACTATCGAAGAAAATGAGACAGACGATATGACATTGCGAAAATATGATAGATTTTCTTTTTCCTGTTTTGGCTAATTCTGACATCATGCTGCGGATATCCATAATGTTATGTTAGTTAGGATCGATATATTTAGGTGGAACAATTGGTATAAAATCCATCAAATATTCCTTCTCAATATTTCTACATTGAGTTCTTAACGTCCGTTATGTGTGGTCTTCCGAAATGCGGTTCAAAATAACAACTAGATTAAATAATTAGTTCAATTCATTTTGCTTTCGATCACAGATTCATATGTTGTTTAATTTTCTTGGTCTGGAAATCAAAAATCTATTCGTCTTATCATCCAGATGTATTCAAATTCTTGTCAACAACCAAAAAATAAATAACCACACAATGTTTATAATAATTCTTAGCCCCGAATTTTATACATTTTTTTTTCACTCCACCCACAAATCACTGATGGATGAAAAATGTAGGAATAGAGGAAAAGACAGCAAGATGATTACAAGTCCTCCTATCGTCATTTTCGTGAATTCTTCCCTTTTATTTCTTCCAATTTTTTATTGATGAAATGTCTGGTTGCCTTTTTTTTATTGCAAACAAAAAAAAATCTCCACAATGTTTGTAAATTACGAATGATAATGCGACTGAAATAAGTAAGATGTCCTACTTTTAATATCCATCCTACTTCTTTTAAAATGATCTCATTGAAAAAAAAAGTCTTATCTAACTTGATAGTTAGTATATTGATCCTTTTCCAACAGATTCAGTTAGAGTCTGAGATGAATATTTAACAAACTTGATGAAATTATATACAATTATTTTTGTAGGAAAGGCAAATTTAACGTCCGGTGATTTTGATTTTTATGTCTGCGTGATGAAAGTGAGGAATTTGCAACTGAGAACAGACAGATGAAGAAAAAAAGTAGACATAACATTACTGCTGTTAGCTGCCATCACAACACTATTCAATGATGTTTATAATTTGGTGAATCGATTCACAAATCTATTCATCATCTTCCGCAATCTATTCTTAAAATATTTATGAAAAACTTCTGTAGGATAGAAAGCTTACTTCCACAAATCGCTCTTATATATCTCCTAAAATAGAGTGAATTCTTTCTTTTTTTTGCACTCTATTCAACATAATTTTTAGTTATTCATGAAAAAAAAGAACATCAGCTAAATTCAATTCCTGTCATCAAAGAATTTGAAAACGGATGATTCCACTTTCTCAAGAAAAAAAAAAACTTTATTTCAAAGTCAAAATTTTCTGATTTTTTAGCGTCGATCAGTGAGGAAACAGAACAAACAAGCCAATTAATGGAAGAAAAAAATTACTATACTTTTTGCAACGTGCATAAGATGATAGAAAAATGTTATCACAGAGACACTAAAAGAGATCTCAAAATAAGCGATAAAGAACATTGAGTTTCTTAAAAGAACAAAGGAAAAAAAAAACGAGTTATTAAGTTCAAACAAAATTACTGAAATGGTATGACTGAAAAAACGCGAAACGTGAGGTCAAGCTCATTCTCTACATATTGGAGATTCTGCCCAAGGGAGAGGAAAGTTTCATTTTTTGTATTTGATGCAATCCTTAGCCATCACTGAAGACCAACTTAAGAATTATCATAAAAAAATTACCATACCATGCCAAAATAATCATTTTCACCATCGGTCAGATAAACGGCAGCTGGATAATTGGCTTGCCGAAAAAGACTGCAGGATGTTGAAGAAGAGGTTGCTGATTTCTGTTTTTGCAAATGGTGTAACTGTTCGCCACCATCGTACGAATTAGGTGAAGCATTGCACTGATAAAGTAATGTTGTTGTTACGGGAGATTTTATCAAATGTGGCGCATTTTGTACGCCATCAGTACTATAGCAAGATTCAGAAATACCAGAATTTGGAAGTATCATGCCAGACGGAAGTGAAGTATTTGTGTATACTGATGATAATAATGTAGGTGTCGTAACTGACAAGGTAGTAGCAGAATGCGAAATCGTCTGAATGGATTTTTTCTGGGAATCCTGTCGTAAAGGGAATGAAATGACAGATGACAAGTCATTATTGTTGGTAGTAGTAATGCTGCTGGTGCTAGTTAGTATCCGTGTTGCTGCACATCCCGATCCACCACTACTTACACTTAGTCGATTGATAAAAGAACTCAATTTTGTCCTATAATAAGTAAGGAGATCACTAGTCATGAATAAACGGAAAGAAATAATTACACGAAAATATCGGTAAATTTTTAAATTTATCAAGGACCTCTGTATGTTCAACAATTTATAAATGGATTGTGTAAAAAAAAATCCAACAAAATTAGACTAAGAAAATATATCATAATAGTGGGATATAATGCAACAATCGAATATGGCAGTGCGTAGCGTGATGCATTCCTGGAAGGTTCAAATTTGTGTCAAGATCCGTTTTCAGCATCTTTACTAATAGACAATTTGAACTATAAGTTCAAAATCAATTGTCTTTCTATTATAAAACTAAATTACTATACGAAATACTTCACATAAACTTGAACTATATGTTTACTCTAATTAAATTATAATCTACACCCAATAATTATGAGTAATTTCTTTAGAACACACAATTTGCTCATAATCTAAAGAAATGAACTATCAGCCACTAACTCTCTGTCATCATGCCAGTTTCTAAAGCCTTCTAATCAATCCACCGATGCCTATTTTCCTCATTTCTGGTTTACATCAAAATATTCGAATAACACCATTCCTTTCACTATTAATTTCATAATTACTCAAAATAAAAAAAAAAAATATTGCTAGTGGGAAGTTGTTTAAAATTGATTTTATTTGATGACTGATACTAAAGCTGCCATCTGATACTAATATAGTCATCGAAATGCAGTCCACCTTAAAGAGATATGAGATCGCCCATACAGTCACACCTATTTTATAATGAAAGTTCTAAATAAATGAATGAATAGAGGAGAGATAAGGAGAATGCACGAAGCGACTAACCTTGCAATTGTAAAAATCGAATTTCGTTGTCGTTGCGACAATTTTTCCAGTTTTTGCTTGTCAAATGAAGATGTGATAGTGGGACTGCAACCGTCGCACCTGATCTCACCCGTTGCCTCTTTCTTCGAATCGATCGAGGAAATCTCCTTTGATTGAGGCTGTTGTTGTTGAAAATTGCACTGATATGATACAGGTGTTGTTGTTGCGTGCTGTTGCTGCTGTTGTTGCTGCTGCTGCTGCTGCTGCTGTTGTACGTATGCGTGCACGTCGGGTCGATTGTAACGATCAGGGCAACAGGCTGCAGCTTGCGGTTCATCCAGTCTGCTCCGTCGCCTTTCTTCTTTAACTACACGCGCACTTCTCCCTCTCTCTTCCTTGTTTGTTGACACGTTGGTATATGACCTTTATGTGATGATATCTGTCCCCTCCTTGAACCTCCTCTATCCCTTCAAATGTACACATTTTCAGAAACTCATCATAACCACATCAATATAAATGCTCACACTGCATTCATATAGACATAAGTAGAAGAAAAAAAAAAGACTTCTTTTGTCCTGCATAATGTTGCATGCATGCATGCACACATGCAAATTATGTTACATCCATGCATAAAGTCAATATCCACTCTCCCAACAAAATGCAGGAGTGTAACAACCGCAGGAAGATGAAATCCGCAATAGAGCCAATCTCGAGACCCGCCTAACCGCCCTCTCTCCATTCCCTCAGATGGAAAGAGCAGCACAGCCTCAAAAGATGGCGTCGTCCATCGTCTGGCTGTTCAATTCAAATTCTCCTCCTCTGCGTCTCTGCCAAATGATAGCCTGTCCGTCAGGTGGTATATTGTCTCTTTCATCCCTCATTCTATGTCTCTTTGTTTACTCTGACGGTATGTTTGCTCGTGCAAATGAAGAGATTGAGGATGTGCCGTCTGTCTCTCTCCTTTTTTTTACTCCTATTTGCTAAAGTATCTCTCTTTCTAAATTATATCAAAATTATGCGTACATGTCATCCCTATCCCCTGCTATCTGTAATGTCTCGACACTCTCACTCATTCGTACACTCTCACTCATTCACTGCTTTCTTTTCATTCAAACAAATAATGACGAAAATCATTGTAATCAACAACTGTTTCTTTCTCCTTTTTTTTTTCTCTCTCTCTCTCTCTCTCTCT